TCGGCTGCCACCTCTCCACAGGCGTCAGCTTTCATAGAGCCGCCGGTGCACCGTACTAGTTCAGCTCTCCCCCAGTTCTGCCCGAGTCAGACGTCGCTGCCGGACATGTAGACATTGCCCCAGTCAGTGGTGGCCTAGCGCGGCCGGCGTGTGACCCGGCTGGGATGCCTCCCCAGCTGTCTGAGTCAGGCCGGTCTGGCACGGCATACAGATCGGCCCCTCCCTCTTGAACTGACCTGGCTGGAACGCCTGTCCAGCTGTCTGAGTCAGGCCGGTCTGGCACGGCATACAGATCGCCCCTTCCCTCTTGAACTGACCTGACTGGAACGCCCGTCCAGTTGTCTGTGTCAGGCGAGTCTTGCACGGCACGCAGGCCACCCCTCCTCCCCCCCCCCCCCTCCACTGGTCTGATCTGCCAGTGACAGCGCCATCCGATACGCTGCCACCACCGCCCAACCACGAAACACGAGCACGTCGGCCGCCACCGAGGCCTCCACTGGCGCCGCTGTCCGGGCCCGCACCTGACTTCTCAGAGAAAAGGCTGCTCCTGCTGGCGGCGCGCGGCGAGTGGGCCGTCACGCGCCTCGGCCGCGCCACGGGCGAGGCGCGCGGCTTGGGCGAGGCGGCCGGGCGCGCCTTGGGCGAGCCGAGAGCCAGCCGGGAGCGGGCACGCGGGCTGGCGGTCACCGGTCGGCCGCCGGCCGCGCCGCCAGACTCACTGCAACGACGACACGCACACGCTGTATGGACTGGCTGCGAGACGCCGTCAACCAGACCGACACGGCACGCATGCGCCCACCGCGCAGCTTGCGCTGCGGGTGGTCGCAAACTTTACCACAGCAGCATCAATGCGACGGATTTATGCGGACGGAGCGCAGTAATTCATTTGGCTTGCCTTCGAATGCCGCCCGGAGCATTTTGAGGGAACACTCCACCACGACACAATGCTAGCATAAAGTACCGCAACGCCACCGAAAGGCTACCGGTGTTACCTCCGCATAACTCCGCATAACAATAGCATTTTCCGTTCGCGGCGACCGACAGCCCACTCTCTGCCTGCTGGCGGGACGTGTCCCGCCCTCACCGTTGCCGTTTCCGTTCGAGGGCGAGCAGTGTGGCGCGCGAGAGGTGGGCGGCGGGGTCGGCGCTGCGCCGCCGCTCGGAAGCGTGCTGCCGCGCCGCCCGGTCGGCCGCGATCACCGCCAGACGCTGCGTCGGCGACGACGCGATGAACAGCTGGTGCAGCGAGTAGCAGGCGCCGCGGACCTGGGCACCGTCAATTGTCACAGAGCGGCACGGCACCGGGCGGCGAGAGGGCTGTGGTAGCACGCGGCCGAGCGCTGGCCAATTATTACAACAGACAGGCACAGCAGGTGGCCACACTGGGCCAGAATCTCGGATCAAAATATACTCTAAACACAAATAAAGTACAAGAGCCATTTGGGTCGCGCCATACCAACTCAACTAGCGAAGGGCCATTTCTAACAATTGCCCATCTGGGATTTCGAAAAAAATGGGCTAAAAGGTTTTATCCAAATATGAACACGAGCTTAAGGAAATTACAGCGAAATAGAAGCTACCGTTTTTGAGTTAGTTATTTTGTTATTTTGACCTCATTTTTCACTTAGGAAAAAAATATTAAATTTCCGTGTCCCGCAAAATGTTAATCACGGACCCAAAATCAAACGACCAGCCGTTAGACCTTTCGCACGGACGCATTTATGGCACCAATATGTTCAACTGATGTGAGACACGTATGCATAAAAAGCCAGCCAGAATTTACTAAATCGATTGGTCAAAACATGCCATCCAAATTTTACAAGCACGACTTTTGGATTCTCCATACTTTTCACCATAGAGGCCTTAGCAAGGAATGGGCATTTCCATAGTGACTCCTCCAGCGAGCACCGAATCGGTCCTCCCGCGTGCAGCGGTCAGCCACCCTTGCATGGCGCCGTGTAGAAATCACCTATTTCAAGACATCAAAAATGAGAAAACGTCTATAACCAAAAACCGTGGTTCCGGTTGCTGTAATTTTCGCAGACTCAATGGTATAGACAATCGTGGTACAATGGTATAGACAAAATCTCGTATAAATCCCCGCAAGTCGGGTGATCGATTGGTTGAATTTACATGAAACAAGCCATGCAACAATGCTCCGCATATCCCAAACCTATCAATGACACCAACAAACAATGCAGATTCGTTCCTAACAGACAAGTCCTGCCGCGGTCGGTGACTGCGGCGATCGGCCCCTCTGTCGGTGTCGAGTGATCGGCGGTGCGTCGGAGGATGCGCGGCGCAGCTGCCGGCGGCCTCACCTGGTTCACCAGCCGCTCGTGCAGCTCCATGTCCTGCCGGGTCACCTGCTTGGTCAGGTCCACCTCGCGCTGCAGCCGCAGAGCGCACAGCATAGACTCCTTGGCGGCGGCGATCATCGACTGCACCTGTACACGCCGCAGGGCCAGCGGGAGTTACTCAAGCGACAAGGGGGAGGGGGGGGGGGCATATGAGAGACAGAGGTGGACCCAGGGTGCGCCTCTGCAGGCAGCGCAGCCCGGGCACCGTTGTGGGAGGCGGAGAGGGTGGGGTGGTGACCGCCGTATCCGACCCTGCCTCCGCCCGCGCAGGACAAACAGCTCGGTGAGGAGAGGGCGAGGGGGCATGGGTGACAGAAGAAAACAAAAGCGTATGTCGCTGTACAGGAAATGACGAAAAATCGATCAAAGTCCAGACCGGACCAGCCGAATAGAATCACACTAATCAGTGCGCAGGGAGTACGTTTTCGTCTTGTGCGAACCCGGGAATGTATCGCGCTTGTTAAGTAACGGATAACCACAATCAGAGGTTTTCGTTTCTATGAGCACTACCGTATCCCCGCGAGGTCACAGCAGGCAGCGCCGGAGTACAAGCAAATCACAGAAGCAGCGCACAAACGACCGATGATGACACAAAGGAGTTTGCGTTCGATGATCCTACACAGCCTAAACCGGTACTAACACGTGCAACGCCCGCGCGGACTAGCCGCCGAGGTGCTGTGGGCTGACGACGCCAGCCGCGGTACGGACCTTCTCCGTGCGCATCAGCCGGCGCGTGAGGAAGCCGCGCGCCGCCGCCGTCACCCTGGCGTAGCGGGCCTGCATGCCCGGCTGCAGCGCCTGCGACAGACGCGTCACGATGTCAGAGCCGGCTCGCAACGGGCGCCGCCGAACAACGGGTCACGGCCGGCGACACTGGACAACGGAACACGGCCGGCGACACTGGACAGCGAAACACGGCCGGCGACACAGGACAGCGGAACACGGCCGGCGACACTGGACAGCGAAACACGGCCGGCGACACTGGACAGCGAAACACGGCCGATGACATTGGACAGCGGAACACGGCCGGCGACACTGGGCAGCGAAACACGGCCGGCGACACTGGACAGCGAAACACGGCCGGCGACACTGGACAGCGAAACACGGCCGATGACATTGGACAACGGAACACGGCCGGGGCAGTAAACAGTGAGCTGGGGTCGGCGACACTGGACAGAGTGACACGGCTGGCGACGCTGGACAGCGGGACGCCCGTGTCCTGGCCGGGCCCCGAACCCAGGCTGACCTCTGGCGGCACGGTGAGCCGGAGCGGCAGCGGCGGTGGTGGTGACGCCAGCCGCCGGGCCACGGGCGTCGGCACGGCGTCGGCCGGCGGGCCGGCCCACGGCGGCCGCTGCTCCCGGGCCGGCGGCGTACTCAGGTGCGAGTCGTACCGCTCGTACGCGGACGGTGGGCTCTGCACAGCCAAGAGGACGACATCACCGGTCCACCCGCACAGGCCGACCGACCGAGCTCGCCAGGCGCGAACCACGGGCTCCAGGGGACGACATCACCGGTCCACCCGCACAGACCGACCGACCGAGCTCGCCAGGCGCGAACCACGGGCTCCAGAGGACGACATCACCGGTCCACCCGCACAGACCGACCGACCGAGCTCGCCAGGCGCGAACCACGGGCTCCAGAGGACGACATCACCGGTCCACCCGCACAGGCCGACCGACCGAGCTCGCCAGGTGCGAACCACGGGCTCCAGAGGACGACATCACCGGTCCACCCGCACAGACCGACCGACCGACCGAGCTCGCCAGGTGCGAACCACGGGCTCCAGAGGACGACATCACCGGTCCACCCGCACAGACCGACCGACCGAGCTCGCCAGGTGCGAACCACGGGCTCCAGAGGACGACATCACCGGTCCACCCGCACAGACCGACCGACCGAGCTCGCCAGGCGGGAACCACGGGCTCCAGAGGACGACATCACCGGTCCACCCGCACAGACCGACTGACCGAGCTCGCCAGGCGGGAACCACGGGCTCGTCTCACACCTGACGACAGCAGGTATTCGGCCCCCGGCGCGACACAAGCCGGCTACCCGGTGGTAGCTGGTAGCCACTAATATTCGTAGCAGGTCCGCTACCAGACACCAGGCTGCGTGGTGTCAACACCATAATACATCCTGCTACGACGATTAAACAGGTCAAACGCAAAACCCTTTTTCGGGCTCATTAAAAAAATATGGGCCTTCGATACGCCGCATCAACGGCGTCGAAAGTAAGCTTGAACGCTCCCAGGTTCAACAAACACATGTCCCGTTCTGTACACTACAGAATAACACATACAAGCAACTAAGCAATTAGTGATGCCATAGCCAATGACCGGCGGTGGCAACCGCCGCAGCGTGTAAAATTGCTACGGTCCAAGCTATTTTCCCTCGACACAGGCCCTTCGACGACGTGCGCACTCTGTCGGCAATGAGCGTGACTCACCATCACGGTCGACCCTTCTCCCAGTGTCCTGACCCGCCGCAGCGGGGGAGGTGGTGGCGGGGGCGACGGCGGCGGCGGGGTGTCGCCTCGCTCGACCCCGGTCTGGCCGGGCCTCCCCGGTCGGCCGGGGTCGGAGTTCACGGCGGGCCCGGCGGCACGGCCGAGGTTGGAGCGGGCCGGGCTGGCCGCCGTCAGCAGTTCGACGGCTCCCAGCTGGCGGCGCAGTCGCAGCAGCACCGCCTCCTCCACCCGGCGGAACGAGGCCTCCAGCGCGCGCCGCTGCCGGCGCTGCTGCTCGACCAGCGCTGCCATCTGGTGTTCATGCAGCGCCAGCAGATCGCGTAGCTCGTCCAGCGCCGGTCTGCCGGCGAGATCAGACCAGCGGCGCTCGCACGGAGTATGTGACAGCGACGGAGCACGAACGCACGAGCGGAGACCTGGCACAGACGCAGCGCATACCCAGATCAGGAAGGGGCCGCGCTTGGTGAGTGTAGGTCCCGCAGTCAATCTCAAGCCAATCTGAGGCGGTCCGATTTCCAGCAGTCAGCTCATGCTTTCACAGCGAAATAACTGACGACAACGGGACATATACAACAACAGCAACAACAGCATATACAACAGCACGCGGGTGCAGGCCTCTACCTTCAATTTCGGCTTTGTCACAAGCCAACGAATCTCCTGCTGCGACAAAACCAGCGGCCCACAGTGGCGCCCGCGGCGGGGCCGGCGTCCACCGCTGACCGTCGACCGGGACTGATACCGGTCTGGCAGCGCGCGAGTGCTGACGGGGAGCACAGCCGACCACTCACAGCGAGGCCGGGTCCGGCGGCGGCGCGACCAAGTCCGGTGACGGGTCTGGCGGCGGCGCGACCGAGTCCGGTGACGGGGCTGACGGCGGCATGTCCATCGGCGTCGGCGAGTACATGGCGGCGGCATGGCGGCCCGCCGGCGGGGTCCGGCCCGCCGGAGGCGACGGGGTGTTCCAGCCGGCCGTGAACGCCGGGCCGACGGCACTGCGGCCCTGCAGGATATCCTGCATGCCAAACGGTCGGCGTAAGGACAGTCGATGATGTCCTCGGCACTAGCCGGCAGTTGGTACAAAAATCCCGATAAAAACAGGGGCCAGGCATGAACTCGTTACTGAGTGACACGCGAACTTTTGGTCACGACACGATATCACAAAAACACAGGAGTCACGCACCAGTCTTCACACACGACCAACGCGAATAGCACACACCCCATTTCCTTCACGTCGGTACCCCAACTGTAACGGTCCTGAACGTGCGCGATCATGAACATCTGGCCTCAGCGCGGTTACACTCGAGCCCACTGCAGCAGCTGTTGTGCTGCACCAATGTTCCTCCCCACCCTCGGCGCGGCATGGCGTCTCGACCCAACCGGAATAGCATTCCCGTGATCACCACGCCCGGCCCCAGCACTCCCGTCCCACAGCTGTGGGGCCAGCGTTGCGCGCGGCCATCCTGCCCGCTGGCGACCCTCACCTGAATGGCGCGCGAGTCGAAGTTGGGCGTGGGCCGGCGGGGCGCGGGCGAGTGGCCGGCGAGAGGCGACAGGCTCGGCGGCGTCCGGCGCGGGCGTGGCGAGGCGCGTGCGCGCCGGCGGCGGCCAGACGGCCAGCCTGGCCACACGCACGAAACGCTGAGCACAGCCGCTGGAGGGGAGGCTCGTGACGACGGCAGACGGAGGCCGCACAAACGGCACGTGAGGAACCAGACCAGACCGGAACACACATATTTTGCTCGACAAACGCCGGGCGGCTGGCCCAAGGCCGATGCGGCGTGAAAACAATGAAGGAAGCGTTACCCACCTCCTATTTCCAGGGCGCATATTGCAAGTATGACTATTCTGGTTGCACGCGAGGCCTATACGGTCTGTTTAAACACGACTAACATCTCCGGAGCTCCCTCCGAGAGTCTCGGCGGCCAGCTACAGCAACGGCGGCGACACTCACCGGAGGGGCGAGGCGACAGCTCCAGCCCGGCCAGGGGCGGCGGGGGCGGCGGCGGCGCCGAGCGACGCCAGCGCGCCGGTGGCTCCGAGGCCGGCGCGTCCCGTCCCGACGCCAGGCTCTGGAGCACGCTGCGCCAGCCCAGTGGCACGTCAGCCGGCGGCGGCGGAGGCGACGGCGGCGGAGGCGGCGGCGGCGGCGAGCCCGGTCCCGCCCGCTCGGCCAGCGCCGCGCGCAGCTCGGCCGCCGAGCCGCGCTCGTCCCGCCAGCGGCGCCGGCGCCGCGCCTCGGCCCCCTCCGGCTCGGCACCAGCACCGGGCGCCGGCTGCTGCGGCCGCCGGTCCGGCGACTCGGTGGCTGTCGCTGCCGCATTCTCCAACACCTGAGAGGACGAACACTTGCCAAAGCCGACCCAGAGCGCTGCACTACAGGAGATCGCTGTTCCTCTCGGTACGTTACAAGTTGGCTAGTAGTACTTGCCGTTCGCTAATTACTTATGATTTCTTTTCATGTGGAAAACAAAGCAAGTGGAAACCCTTCCAAAGGTCAATAGCCATTATTCCGCACTAAAGTCACATCGAATACAAAACGAAAACATTGCTGTTTGGGGACTGCAGAATTGCAGCACGCAAGAACTGAGCCCTGCCGATCCCATCCCCACCACTAAGCTGCCAGCGGCGTCTGACCTGCAGCCGCTCCTCCGGGTGTTTCAGGTAGTACTCGACCAGCAGCGGGCTGGGGTTCTCCAGCGTGAACGAGAGCCGGCGCGCCGGCGAGCGCTTAGCCACACGCCGATGGGCCGCCCGCCCGTGGACCGGGCAAGGCGCCGCGGGGCCCGCCGCTGTCGGCTCCTCCGGCTCGGCGGATACACTGTCGAAGTCGGCGAACGTGGCGCCCTCAGCGCCCGCCCAGTCGACGTCAGCCGGCCCCGCGCTGTCGCGCCGCGCCCAGCTGCCCTGACCGGCCTGGTCTGCCGATGCTAGCGTGCCACCGCTTCTGCCCTCGTCCGACGGTGATGCTGCGGTCCCACCGCCATCTGGGTCTTCTGGTGTGGCGCGTGTTCGGGTCGCGTCGCTGTCAGTCGCCGATGTCACCGTCGCGCCTCGGCCGGAGTCGTCCGGTGGCGCCGACGTGCCGCCTCCCATGTTCTCCCCGGACGTCCCACCTGTCCTGGAGGTGATGACGCCCCGGCCGGAGCTGTCCGGCGTCGCTGATGACTCGTTTCTGCCGCTGCCTGGCAACGGCACCAGCGCCTCGCCCGCGGCAGAACTCACGAATGAGGTGACAGTTCCAGCGCTGCATCGTTCCCTCAGAAGTGCCAGCGGGCCGAGCGCTACCACCGATCTGCCGCCTCTGACAGCGTGGTGTGCGGGTGCTGCTGTGTTACCAGCCTGTGGCGCCACATGGCCACTGCGGGGCCCGTACTCCAATGAAGCCGCGGACCCGTCCCGCTCGCTGCACTCCTCCAGCGACACCTCATCACCGTCTACATTCCTACCTTCCACTGACTTCGCAGGCTCGTCCCACTCATCACAGTTGTCAAACGCCGTTACAGGCTCTTCCCCTCGCCCGCCGAGGTCAAAAGACGCCGTGGCGCGCTCCTCGCCGGCCCCGGCAGACGCCGCACGAGCAGCAGCGGGCAGCGACAGCGGCGAGCGGCCACCCGTCACAGTGCGCGCAGAGTCGGGGGCCAGCGACAGCGGCGGGCCAGGCGCCTCGGAGTCGGTGGCGTCGCCGGTCAGGTCGGCCGCGTCCAGGAAGCTGCGCAGCGAGACGCTAGCCGTGTCGGGCACGGAGCGCGGACTGGCCTCGGCCCACGGCGGCCCGCCGGCCGGCGGAGAGTCCCCGCGGGCGGACGGGACGCTGCGCCGCTGCTCGGCGGCGGAGGCCGCCCCGGAGCCGGCGTCGCCTTCAGCGCCGCTGCTGCGCGCTCTCTCCTCCGCCCGCCCGCCGTCGCCGTGGCCGGAGTGCGGCGGCGGTTCGTCCCTGCGCGGGCTCTCGGTCGGCGCCAGCTGCCGCGGCGAGGCCACCATGTCGCAGAGTGCCAGGCGCGGCACGCCGCCGGCCGGCGCCGCCACCACCGTCTGCAGCGAGCTGCCGCCCCAGCGCGCCGCCACCTCGCCCTCCTCGTCCGAGGTGTCCGCGTCGGCGAACTGGCCATCAGCGTCACGCTCGGGTGGCGGCGGCGGCTGCCAGAGCCGCGCCACGCTGGCCGGTGGCGCGCCGCCCCACCAGTCACAGTCTGGTGATGCCATTGGTCAGTCGCCCAGGACCACACAGCAAGCAGTCAATGGCAATGTGTGGCAATCGCTGCTGCGGACTCTGTTAATGAGAAAATGTGGCATGTCATATGTACACTACACAAAGACATACATGCTGTATCAAATACACCTGAATTGTTGCACATTCAGGATGGGATTTCATGAGGAATAATGCTTTGAATGCCCCCTGCCATCCTGAATACCCCACTAAAAAGCAGTCCTGTCCAAGTGGTGCAGTCCTGTGGGGTATGGTTGTGACATAACAAGACATGAAAACAAATACATGCCATACATCACAAGCATCCAAATATTTATATCTTGCATTCAACTTACTACCCTACACCTCAAAATTTTCAACCATGTCAACTCTGAAAGCTAAACCACACCTATACAAACATGTATCACATGCCACTGCTCACTCATTAGTACACACCACAGGATTGCTTAACCCTGATGGCACCACATTAATGTCATATTGTGTGAATCATCTAATGTGTGACTGATGAGCATTCATGTCAATATAATGAGGTGCTTATTTTTTCCCCTGTTTTGTATGCACATTTGTTAATGCTGATGTAGCTTTTCATTTTATGCTTAACACAGAAGCCAGGCAGCAAACCATGGCAGACATTTATCATATATTTAATGCTTCCTAAATTCCGACCTGAGTGAGGCAGCAAACATCCAATTAGCAGCAGTCTCTGCTGACCTTAACTCACCCATAAAACATGTTTTCTCACCAGATCAACCATTTAAGGTCTAAAGCAGAGTGAACTACCTACTTCAGTACTTCCTGCTCTTAAACCTAAAACCACTAAACCACATATATTTGTTTGCCCTCAGCCCACCTAACAAGGTCTTGTTGAGATCTCAGGACGAGCACCACCATGTTCATGCCAAATGACAATGATATATCATCAGGGGCATTGTTATTTAAAGGGATAAGACCAAATATACATACCCATATCATTTTTTGTAAAGCTGCTGTGGATTGGTCTTCCAAAAAGCAGCTGTTAATCTCAATAACTCACAAATCAAAACAAAATATCTAGATGTTTTAAAATTGCATGCAATATAATGAACCATACTTATCTTGCAATACAAAAGAAAACTGTGGTACTGCTGGTGCTTGGCTCACATTGGAGCTGTTATGACAAAACTTCTAAAAGTGCTCAAGAATGAAAGGCAATGGAACCCTTTCAGTTGTAGCAATTCTAAACAAGGATACCAAAATATCTCAAGATGGCATCAATCATTCTACATGTTTCTGTTTTGCCTAATATTTTAGCAAACTCCATAAGGTATTTATAGTGGATGTTGTTTCTAAGCAGTTCATGCAACAATGTTTCAGATATTTCACACAAAACTGTTCCTTGCATCAGCAAATTTCATTGGATCGATATCTGTTGGTGGCAAGTACTGTCCACACAGGAACCACAGGATAGATGAAATGCTGTAATTTTACAGTATAATTAAGATAATAAGGTACAGGTATCTGACACCATTGAAGCCCATGCAGTAATGATATGACTGCAACAAGCCAAACATGAAATGGTGATTTAAAAAAATGAATAGAGAAGAAACCGCCAATACCGCAAAAAGTTACTGGCAAAAACTGGGGCTCACGCCCCAGTTTCGGACCGGATGCACAGGTACTCGTGCCCTTAACATTTATACATCTCGATCAATAATGCAAGACATTGTCATTGCTCTTAAGGTACCCACCAACAACACATTGCGTAGCCTTTGAATTCGTTGAGGTATGCAGCACATGCCAGCGCCACTCCACCCTCGCGCCCCCACTTCGATTCCTGCGTATATATGCGATGCGATATTCTTGGGGGCTGATTTTGGGCGCGTATCTCAAATCGTCAAGCGGGGTCCCGACGGCGACGAGAACGGCCAGTATTCTAAAGATATTTGTGAACAGAAATGTCGCTGAAAGTAATAACTGATGTCTCTGCAATGCCGTCCGTTTGACTCCACCTCAACTTTAGACGGTATTTTCGTGTTTCGTTGGGGCGTTTCACAACTGCCGACACCTGCGAGACGAAATCAAGGGCGGATCCATTGGAGGGAGGGGGGGGGGAAGGGGCAACCGGGCTATACTTGATGGCCAAAGTTTAACAAGAAACAATATCTCTAAAAGTCTAGACTTTGAAGGTAGCAGAGTAACTTTGATCAAGGGGAGTTCGTTTTGGAATGCTCGTTTAAAAAGAAGCAAAATCCGTTGAGTCACGCAAAGGTTTTGACACATATTTGACATTTTGCCCATAAATCGGCGTTGCTCCCCTATGATGAAATTTTGCATTCGACCCAAGGCGGAATACGCCAGCCCCCACATCTACGATAATGTGGTTTCATGTTGTATTCAGCTGGGGAATGCGCTCCAGCCCCAACTTTGACAAGATAGCAGGCGCGAGCGCAAAAAGTAGCTCTCGTTGACACGTGCCTTTTCTGACTCAATGTATAGCATCTATTGATAATTACGCGGCTTAATGTTGACAGCTACAATTCCAGGAAACACCTAAGAGCTAACTCTGAATTTGTGAGTTACATTTCATCACATCCATGTCCGACAAAACAGTCATGGACCGGAATATTGTCACGTGATTTTTCATTTGCCTTATCCAGCAGACCCGCAACATTGCGATCATTGCCCTTTTTCTACGTTAGCAACATAATGGACGGAGACATAATGCCAGGAAGGATCGTCAAAAGAATTGTATCCCATGATACCAGTCAGCGTGTCCAAGTGGACTCTTGTGGCCCATCTCGGACCATCAAATCCCATCGGACCATCTTCAAAGCCCATCTCGGACCCTTGTGGGTCCGAGATGGGCTTTCGTTTGAGCATATGTGTAGCATATGCTACACGAAACACTGGCTCACCGATAGTTTTTCATGACCCACACACGTCCGTGGTGGTCAGCACATCGGACGCCCGGCTTCCGTCAGAAAGCTATCCCGTCAGACATATGTCGCATCGGCCAGGAAATCCTACCAATGATGTTGGATGTTTCCGGAAGTCATGTCAAACATGGAGGGTCACAGGTTTTGCATGCGTCTTCGACGAGCCAGCTCCGTTGCCCAGCGAAGCAAGCCCGCAACCTCCTGTGGTCAACCAAGTTCGCTGCCAACCAGCCGCAAAGAGAAGCGGCCACTCCAACTCCAATTGTGATTGGCCGCGGTACCAGCGGCAGCAGTTCCATGAACAGGATGCCTCAACCTCAATGAACACCTGCGCCATATACGCCGTTAGTTTGCGCATTGAGAACCTCTGAGAAAAGGTGTCGGCCGGAAGGTAAATATTCGTTTCGTACCATGGGCAGTGAGTGGAGTAATTTGAGTATTTACGTAAACGAAACGTTCATTTGAGAGGCTGGGCTTAATTGTGATTACAAGACCCTGGTCCGACCACGCGTTAAGTAGGGGGAAGCCGCTGAGTGACAAGGTGTCAACCGTGTAAGCCCTGCCAGCTACCCGTGAAAATAGATGAGTTTCGAAAGATTTGTCGATCCAGCATGCGGTCGGCTATACCGGAACGCCTTAGGTTGTTGGGCTAGCATGACTGTCCTTTATAAATGGTTGGTGAAATATTAATTTGATGAAGTGTTCCAAACAAGTCTGCAAAATATGACATTTCAACAATATTTTGTTTGTGGCAGACTTGAGGAAGGATCATTTTTGCAGCAGTGTCTATGAATTTTGGGCGTGAATCTCGGGATAGCTCACATTATACTAGGGCAGCTCATAGCATGTTGGGGAGGTACAACTGAAGGGCAGATTGACAAGCAGTCAGCATGGAGGTGTGAGCTTTTATCATTCACAGGGTAAGAAATATGTGATCATTCCGCTCATGCTAGGTTGAGGCCAATTTGATTCCCACAGTTTTTTAAAGAAAAACTTTTGAGCTGTGTGACATAGCATTTTTAAGCTTGGAATGGCTGTTGAAAATTCAAAAGCGAATCCGTTTGTGTACCAGAACTATACGCAGATACCTTAAGAGGTCCCTGACCTGTGGTTCAGATCATGGTTGCCAGAGAAGGCAATTCCTGGGGAATTGCTTAATATGATGCAACATAGTGTTAGAGAGAGCTAGATAGCTAGATATAGAGATGGTGTCTCAGACAATAACACCATGAAATTTATGATCTCAACTATTTCTATTGACTTTGGGTCATAAATCAAAATCACATTAAGATCAAAAGCAAGTTATTTTTTAAGTGGGGACCTTTCTTTACATGTGTTTTTGGTGGTCTTTTCAGATTTCTTGAGACAGGGACATGGACAGATGTGTTACTTGGACTTGATGAAAATTGGAGGTCCCTAATGAAAATTAGAGGTCACTGATTTAAATTACACTGGTAAATCTTGGTTGAAAAATGTGCTACCTAGCTTAATCCCTGACGGTATGGAAATTAAAAATCAAAGCAATCTTGAAGGCTCATCTGATCTGAAGTTGGGTACCTTTAACCTTATTTGAACTCATGGTCATGACCAAGGAACCTCAAAATTTGATGCAAGTAAACTCACATACAGCTGTATATGCCTGGTGAATGTTGTGTCTCCAGCTCTTTAAGTAATTCAAGGTTTAAGGGGAGGGACAAATTAACCAACCAGTCATCTAGATGCATACCTATATGCTCTAAGGTAAAGAAGACTCCTTTTTAACTGCTGTAACTACTATTTAATTACTCTAAGGTGACCGAAACACATCATGCCAAATATTGGATGGAGGATCTGGAGCTATTTTGACCATTTATAAACATAGCAGTGGAAATAAAAGTAGCCATTAGATATGAGTTTGATTCTCAGGAAAACCGTGACTTTCCCCTGATCATCAGATATCACTGGCCCCCACCCCAAGCAGAGGATTAAGCCTGCCCTAAGCATCTGGTCTACTGGTCTGCCATTTTTGGCAGATTGGCAAATAACATTTGGGAAGGAAAGTTCCAAAAGGACCTGAAAGACCCTGATCAGTGCTGCTCCTTGAAGGTTGTACTGATAGCTTTCAGGTACTTCCAGCAGACATGATTGTCAGAACTTGCATTATGGCTATCTGGGCCTGGTTCTGTAGATTGTATGTGTCTAGGGCTTTTCCTAACACTTTTTGTAGGTATTTTCACTAGGAGATTCAAGAACCTAAGTTGGCATGATATCCCATTCATTTACCACACACACACACACATATATTTGTGGCAATAAAGACTATGGTGGGTTTCTTGGGCTTTATGGTGTCTGAGTGTTGTGATCTGTGAGGGTGTCTTTGATTGTGTCATGCTGGAATAGTTTTTTCAGGGTTGAATCTTTGCATGTGATTTTCTGGTACTCTATGAACATGTTTCCCCTACTTCTCCCCAGTAGCACATGCTTAGTAGTTTGTATGCCATAAGCCTCTCCTCATACTCAAGGTTTGTCACTCTCCAAAACAGCTTGGTTGATGTCTTTTTTACTGTTTAAAGTATTGGTTTCCACATTACATTGAGCCTCACATGCATTTGCCATATTTAAGGTAAGATCCTTCCAAAGCTTTGCACAGCAAAGGCAGAGACCCAATGTCTATGAATGAATTTATAGTAAGGCTTGCCAAATATCTGAATAACAGAGCAAAGGACAGCCCAATCAGCACCAATGCTTTTTGGGGTTTTTAAACTACACTAACTGCTTTGATGCACTATCTTCCATGGTGCACTTATGTCGATGATTTCTTTGCCGAATACACAGGGCTATGTGCAGTTTCTCACTGAAAGGCAGTTGCCACATGTTTGCACATTCTTCCAGCACTGCAATATCTCCTGGTTTGCTGCTGTGCACCTGTTCACTTGCCTGTATCATTCCACAGTTCTATGAAGATAACACAGGCATTGGAAATGAAGATGGCATCACCCTTGTCAAATGATGAGGAAGTGGTAAGTAGATAATGCCATTTTGCGTCAAACTATGCATACAGGTATGGGGTAGGGGCTCTGTTCCCACAGTCTGCTCTTCTGGGACATGTGGTCAGCCATACTCTTTTGAATGTTCTTATATTTTAGGGTTTGTGTGTTGGATACATAGGAGTGTTTGATCATGGCTACATTGCCAAAAATAAGTTTAGTTGCATGCTCCTTTGTTCTAGATTCTTCAGAATGATGATGATGGGTTACTACTTACAGAAATGAAATATAATAAAATGAAATGATGTAGCAAGAAAGCTATTGAAAGACATAGGGTCCCTCACCTGGATTTGTTATAGAACATGACCCCAACTGCTTTTGCCCACAGGCCACACAGAAGTTCTTGGAACTTGTGAACAAGGCTCGCAACAGGAAGGGAGCTGGCCCTATCACGTGGAAAACTGCTGTCAAGTTCCTCATGGCTCGCAAGTTTGATGTGGATAGGCAAGTAACAGCAGTGGAGCTGGTTGACCGGGAGCAAAGCTAATCATGAATTGGGAACAAGCAGTGTTCATATTTGACTTTCAGACACGTTTTCGCGGTACAGTCTCGGTCACATTCTTCCCACTTTTATGCACATAGTTATGTGGGATGAATTAAGGGATAAGTGGGTGGTGAAAAACAAGTTATGGCGAAGGTTAGGATATGATTGTCGTAAGGTTGAGTAAAAATAGGTTTTTGGTGAGGATGCTGTATCTTGAGGTACCTATTGCAACCAATGTTGCCATGCTGAGCAGGCAACATCTTGGAATGGCAAGGTTATGCCCATTCTTATTCTGATCAAAATCAAACAACACTTGAGGAACAATAAACTGTTTTTACATGTAACAAACTATGTTGTTTTGAGGCAGCTCTGCAGTACCTTGTGTATCTTTGTAATCTCGAAAAGTTGTTAGTTGACTTGGAGAAGTTTTGACCCATCCCTGAGTCAGTTGATACTGGATTGTACACAAGACATCCTGGAATCAGGCTCACTGAAATGCAAAATGACTAAATATGTCAAAATAATGCCACAGCTATTTTAACAGCATGCACATAAACCATTCTCTAATCGCTGATATGTGACTTGTTAAACACTAAGACCTGATACAGACTCACAAAGTTGTATGCCCTTAGATTCATTGTGCATTTCTTTCTTCAGGCAATATTTATTTTCCTCTTCCAGGGCTAGTGTAATTCACACCATTTGCATTTTTTTTCTTTATTTCGCAACTTCGGCCGTACCCGCCCGACGCATAATTGGTTCGTGTCGACTTCTTTGTTTTGCCAGGGCACTGACGCTTTACGAGCAGCACGAACGGACACGGCTGATGGAAAACCTGACCGACTTTCACCCCCATGAAGACCCGCTGAAAAGTGAACTCGAGATGAAAAAGTTCACTCTGTTGGTAAGTAGGTGACAATCATAGCAGCAGGGCGTTTGGCAGCGAATCGTTTGATGCAGCGGCCGGCTGGGTCGTCACATGTCGCATGATAGGCTACGGTGTTTATGCGATGTAATGTGCTTCATATTCACCTGCTGTTGTCCTGCTGTCGAGCCCTGTTTACCATTGCAGCACTGCTTGACCCTGTGTGCCACTGTCCCGCCACCAAAACGTCGTACCGCTGTCCTGCCGTGTGACGGTGTGTACCACTGCGCCGTCCTGTGACCCTGTGCACCATTTTGCTGTCCTGTGACCCTGTGTACCATTGCGCCATTCTAAGACCCTGCGCAACCGTTGCGCCGCCCTGTGACCATGTGCACCATTATCTTATCAGATTCTACCTCTGTGCCACTGCCTGACCACTTGTTCTCCTGTCCCTTCATCTGGTATGTGTACCCCTGTCCTCTGTTCAGCCATGCGCACCATCCGCCTTCCTCGCCGCCCTGCCTCCTGTCCACCGTTCCCCCGACAACGGCACCCACGCACCGCGGTTGTCATGTCGTCGGTCGGGATTGTCGTTTTCCGTTTTCGAGCCGTTTTTCCGTTATGCGACCGTGTGCTGCAGTCCTGTCGTGTTACCCAGAACACTCTTGTCTCTCCCTCTGGCCCTGTGTACTGTTGGGTCCCATCTGAAGCTGTACGTTGACCATTGGTACCAGTGTGCGGTCGCCTGATCTTGTATATGGTGTGGTCGTATGGATCAGTGATGCGCCGCCCCACCTGGTGTGCCGCCATCATTCTGTAGGACCATGTGTACTGTTGTCTCCTTGTCTGGCCCTGATAACTGTTGCCTCCCCCCTCCATTTCTTAATTCAAGTGCTGTTGTCTTATCACACGACCCCCAGATGCATCACCATCCATAGTATAACCCTCTGTACTGTTGTTCCGCCACAGGAGGCTGTGTTCTGTGTTCCCACCACCTGGCATTATGCGCCGTTGTCCCACCATCTGACCCCATGCACTGTCGTTAAACCACCTGACCCTCCGCACTCTTGTCTCACCACCTGACCCTCTGCAATGTTGTCCCCCCCCCATCCCCCCATCCGACCTCTGTACCGTGCCCCACCTCCTGGTGCTATGTTCCGTATTCCAACTACCTGACCCTATGTATGATTTGTCCCGCCACCTGGGACTATGACGCTGTCTCGCCAGCCTGACTGTGTACCGCCACCGTCTGCCCTACATACCGTGGTCCCACCGTCTGCTGGTGTGTACCGTCCTCCCCACCGTCCTGCGCTCTGTACGGCTGTGTCAACCGTCTGATCTCATACACCTGTGTTCTTCGTTCTGATTGTGGGTACCGTCGTATCGTCACGTACCGTTGCACCGTTGTCCCGCTGTGTTCCCCTGGCCGTTGCGCCATCGTTCCGCCCTGGCGTTGTTGCCGTTGTCGGCCCTGTGCCCGGCTGTGCCGCATCTGACTCTGTGCCGGTGCAGCCGGTGCGGGACAGCTGCGGCGCCTCGATCGCCCTGTTACGGCCCGGCTGCACAACCCGCACCTCTCCACCCACAAGGACACGCTGCAGGTCAGTCCGACGGCGCGCTCGGTGTCTACCCACTCTCAGACTGCTTTGGTCTTCCATCTGAACGACGGACACGACGTCCACTGCAGTGAGCTCCGTCGTTACGTATTCGCTCAGACGGGTTGTTTACGGGCGCATGCTGTACCGATCTGTAACACTGAGGTAGTGACTTGTTGAGGGCGTGTTGGAGAAGTTGGCATGTCAAGACACTGGATGTTCGGGCCGCAAGATAAATTTGCGAAGTTATATTGCATGCGGGTGGCCAGTGAACGTCAGGTGCCTTTGGTTGAAGCCATTTTCAATGTTTTGCGATAACCAGCGATAACAATCACATGAATTAGGCGAACATCCCGTTCTGTCCATGTGAGAGCGACGGACTGCAGAGTGCAGTGGCTATTCGGCTGGGCGTTCAGTTTGTCCCGGAGGTTGTTGGCTTACGTAGGTGTAATGCCGTTGATACGAGAGGGATTTGACGCGGTAAACTCGTAAGTTCCCAGGTTTGTCACGTTCAGCTGAAAGCGAGGACAGAACCACACGCAATAGTACCGAGAGGTGTAGTGCTCCTGTAAGCAACAAGATGCCGTTGGTGAACTTCTGTGCAGTGTTGTAATGTCCGGTGACGTCAATAAAGCAGCCATCGTCTTCCCTGAAGCATATCACGATCTATCGTGGAGATATTCTGCGACGCCCATGGTGTCCGGGGGCGCCCCGGAGGGGCATCGCGTTGGGGGGGGGGCATCGCGTAAGGGGGGGGGGGGCGTCCCGGAGGGGAGTGGCGCCTGATAACCGGTTGTGGACGCGCTCGCTCGGCAGGGCATCGTGTACCCGTTTGAGTGGCATGGAGAACATCGGCCCAGCGCACGGCCTGTCTTCTCTACATGTCCGACTCTAAATACTCCAACTTTGATTACGACCTCAGTCCAGAAGTACTCAACCTCTCAAGGTGGGCAGAGCGGCGGCCGCGGTGGCGGGGGGTGGCGGAATGTTCGGAACCATCCGTAGCTAGGCTGCAGTACCGTCGTTTGTGAATTGCGGGAGCGTACTACTGGTTACAGTTTTGGTCTCATTCGGTGCAGGGAGCGCGTTGGCGTGTGCCGCAAACGTGCCGACCTGTTGCATACTTCGCATTTCATTGTAGCGAGGGCTATTGTGGCTGCTGGAAGCGTGTTTTTGCGGAAAAAATGAATGGGCACGAGAAGGAAGTCTAATTTAAGACACACGTTATTTCCTTATTGATGCATAAGGCATCAATGAAATTGGACGAAGAGTGGTTAATAGAGCCTAGCTTACTTCCACGCTGTGGGTTTTCAACGACAGGCGCTTTCAGCAATGCTTTCCCTATATTGGTCCCGCTTATGGAAACAACACAATGTGGGTCCAAGGCCTATTCAAACCGCAGTGAATAACGTCTCACGTGTACGTCCGAGATACGGACGTGCTCGCCCAGGCAGGGGTCGGAGTCCGAGGGTCTTTTGGTATATGTCCTTTGGCCGGGGGTGGCTGAAGCTCGGTGAAGTCGTTACAATGCGCGCGCTACCCCTCGCTGGGTAGCTTAGTATGTTCAGTTAGATACCTTGTACGTGTGGGAGGAAACCTAAGCTTTTCGGAACTGAATCATGGCGGTCTGGTGTATTGATGCAAGCAAGAGTGGCCTTTGGCTGATCTTTTTCTGAATGATTTGGGTTCAGAGCGATGATGTATGATTTCCCACCTTTCTGCAGAGCTTTAGCATTCTTGCTGGCTTATAGATCTTTGTGATCTTCTCTGTTGGACCGTTAAGCGTCGCCTAATATTCTCCGAAGATGTTTTAAGATCGCTAATGTGATCCAATAAATACTGGTACTGTTTTCTTGTTTTACTTTTTGTGTTTGGGAGACAGTTCTACTAGGTGTTGCGAATCTGTATCTCTTGCCAGCGCTAATGTATCTCCTCATTAAAAACTGAAATTTGTTGGTTCTCCATATCTCGTTCTCCAAGCTGTCAACCATCTTTAAACAAGTGTAAATGTCAGTGCTACTTACAATGCAAACATGTTTCTCCCTGTCCATGCTGGGAGCGTCCAGGTATCATGTTCGTTGTCCCATATATTTCTTTCTTTGATACTACTCATTTTTGCATGTATGTATCGCATCTTTGCCTTCATCCATAACTGTGTCGAGTTCAGTTTTGCCTCCATTCGTTGCTGTCATCTTCTTCCTCATTACCTC